GATGCGCAAGACTCAGCTGGAACCCTTCAGAAGCTTGAGAAAGTAGCTGTGCCTGCAGCAGCCGCACTGAGGATCTTTCGCATTTGGATACGGAGAGTAACAGTTTTCAAAGCACCTGCATGTCTGTATTAGTTTGCTAGGGCTGCAGTAACACAAAGTAGGTGGCTTACACAACAGATACTTATTTTCTCACAGTTCTGGAGGCCAGGAGTCTGAAATGAAGGTGTGTGCCAGCACCTTCTGAGGGATGTGAGGAAGACTCTGTTCCATGGCCTTCCCCTAGCTGGTGGTGGTTTGCTGGCAATCTTTGGCATTCCTTAGTTTGTAGAAGCATCACCCTGATCTCTGTCTCCATTTTCATATGACGTTCTCTCTACATGTGCATCTGTGACCAAATTCTCTTCTTTGTTAAGGACACCAATTATATTGGATTAGGATCCACCCCAGTGACCTCATTTTAACTTGATCGCCTCTGTAAGTTCCCTATTTCCATATGATCACATTCTGAGGTACTGGGATTGGGACTCCAACTTATCCTTTTTTGGGGACACAATTCAACACATAAAACATCTCTATCTCCTATGACCCTCCTCACCTACACCCCACAGTTAACCACTTCTGGGCAAGTAGCAAGTCTTGTACTAAATATCTGTACCTTTCAGGCCTTCTTATGCTCCAAGCCTTTCCCACGGCCTTTCCACCTCCCACCATGCTCTTCTCTTTGCCTGGAAAACTCCTACTCATTCTTCATTTCTTAGCTTACATGTTACTCCACAGGAGGCCTTTCCTGATTACACTCTCTTGATGGTATCTCCCATGTCATTTATTCTCATGGTTTCCTCTCCCCCCACCTCATGGTTCATTTGAACATATTTCTCTGTGTGATTGATTAATGGAGCTGTCAGACATTAACTCCTAGTCTGTAAGCACGGTGAGGGTGGGGACTCATCTACTCATCATTGTCTTCTCAGTTCCATAGCACATGATCAAGAAATGAAACTCCATAAATATTTGTTGAATGAATGAATGGATCCTCCATACCAACCTCACATAGTGTGGGATTAGCGGATGTTGAGTGAATTATAATAATTTCTGTCTGTATCCTCGAAGAGAGAGTGAGCTCTTTTAGGGTAATATTAGGTCTCTTTTGTTGTTAATCCTCACTGGAGGATATTTTTCCATTGATTTTTAGGGAGAGTGGAAGAGAGGGAAACAGAGAAACATCGATGTGAGAGAAACACACCAATTGGTTGCCTCCTGCACTAGCCCTGACCAGGGCCCAGGCTGGGGAGAAGCCTGCAAGCAAGGTGCATGCCCTTGACTGGAATCGAGCCTGCAACCCCTTGGTCCGCAGGGGGACGCTCTATCCACTGAGCCAAACCAGCTAGGGCATGTGATTAGGTCTTAATTCTTTTTTGAATCATCAGCATCCAACCCCTCTCCTCCTTGATCTTCTATGAAGTAGTTATCTATGCTGCACAACAAATTACTCTGAAATTTAGGAGCTTAAAATAGTAGCATTTTTTTATTTCACAATTTCTCTGAGACAGGAATTTAAGTATGACTTTGCTGAGTGTTTCTGGCTCAATGCCTCTCATGAGGTTATATTTTATGATTTTGGCAAGTCGTCTGAAGGTTTCATTGGGGCTGGAGGATCCACTCCTAAGGTCGCGCATACACACATGGCTGGCAAGTTAGAGTTGGTTGTTTGCAGGAGGCTTCATTTATTGCCCATGGGAGCCTCTTTCTAGGGCTGCTTGCTTGTCTTCACAACATGGATTCCCCGTGAGTGATCAAAAGAGAGCAAAGAGGAAGAGCAATGTCTTTTATGTGTTAATCTTGGAATTCATGCTCCATGATTTCCACCACATCCTATTGGTTATACTGGTCTGCTCTATTCAGTGTTGGAGGGGACTACACAAGGGCATGAATACTAGGAATCATGAATCATGGGGGTCCATGCTGGAGGCTGGTTACCACACACTACACTAGATCTCCTTTTCCCCTATTTACCCATACTCAGTCACAGAATCCTATTCTTTGGCTTTCAAATACTTATCACATTGTATGATTACATGTTCGTTTAATTATTTTAGTCTATCTCCCTCCACCAGAATGTCAGCTCCATGAAGGTAGAGATTGCACCTCTTCTCTTCAGCACTGTAGCCCCGGTATCCAGCACAAGGCATAGAGTTGGTGCTCCGTGAATGTTCTGAACGCATTCTAATAATTTGGTTCTGTTAGAATGATAAGAACGTGCTTGTTTGTCTCCCCTCTGCATTGTAGGCTCCTAGCTCAGGGCCTGGCACAGAATTAAGGCTTCTTCAATAAACATCTATAAACGTTTGCTGACATGGGCTGAGTGATAGATTTGGAGAAGCGAGGCGGGGCGGGGTCTCGATCTTGCTTCCCCAGGCCTGTCCCTCTGGCTCAAACCCACAGAGTCGGGACAAAAGTCTAACAAACCACCAGCCTTAGCAACGCGGGCGGAGCTGAGCCCGCTGGTTGCTAGGCGCGTCACTTCCTGGAACCGTGGTCGCGGAGAACCACTTCCGGGGGCGAGGCGCCGGCGGCGCGGGA